ACCATTTTTACTAAAAACGTTTTTCTTTAAATATTTTTTTACTAAAAATCAATAAAATACAGATAATTTTAAATTTTTGTGAGGAAATCAATAAATCCAGACTTGTTTTTATAAACTCTTGCAGTTGTTCTGGTGTCTGCAGCTGTCAGTGTGAAATAATCCCAGTTCCTCTCAGATTAAGACAGAAGTCGTGACGTTTTCCAGTCAGATTTATTTCTGATCATTAAAACCAGCTCAGTGTTAAACCCTGATGAAACATCAGACACATGAAGACAGACTAAATAAACTAACCTTACAGGCGTGTCACATCAGACAGGAAACATTTGTTCCTCAGATGGAGCCTAAAGTGCCTTGGGGGCGGGGCCACTTGGAGGGGCGGGGCCACAGGAAGGTTCCTGACCATGCAGTGAAGGTAAAGTTCATGATGCTGCTGCTCTGACCTCAGTTCTCTCCCAGTTTGAGTCGAGCAAAGTCGTTGGCCACCTGCAGCGCCTCCTGCAGGCACTGCGTGTTCCTGCCCGTGGCCTGGGCAGACAGGTCCTTCCCGCCTCCTTTCCCGTCCATCAGGGGACAAAGCTCCTGGACCCACTCGCTGGCCTTCAGACCGCGGCTCGCCACTTCCTGCAGACAAGAGGAGGACTTTAAAAACCTTCAGCAGTCATCCAGACTTCCTGCGGTCCTTCAAGTGGTCTGGACTCTGAAAGACTTCAGGAGGTCTGGATGATCCGGATCAGGATCTGTCAAACCTGGGGGACTTGGCACAGGCAGGTGATCTTCCCGGCCTCGGGGTCCACGGTGAACAGCATGGTGGCCGTCTGAGGAGACTGGGACTTCAGCAGCTTCAGGGACTCGTTCAGGGCCTGAGGGACACAAACAGGAACCAGGAAGTCTCTTAGTTGGGACATTAATGTCTGGGTTCAGGGTCAGGATCAGGATCAGGATCAGGGGTCAGACTCTAACCTTTGCTGAGGCTCCACTCTCCATCTCCATGATGAGCAGCGGCTGGTTGGGGCTCTGCTCCATCACCTCCTTGGTCTTCTCCAGAACTCTCTTCTGAATGTCGGCCTTGTAGCTGCGGTCCAGGTCGTCCATGGTCTTCTTCAGACCCTTCAGGGTGTCCCTCATCTCGTCCTTCTGCCACTGAGAGATGACGGCAGCACCCAGCGCCTACAGAGGACAGAAGTGGGTTCAGAGTGGGCTCAGAGTCTGTGGTGGTCCTGCAGCTGTGGTCTGACAGGTTTACCTCGGTCAGGTCTGCGATCTCTTTCTGCAGGTCTTTGTTTGGAGCCGTCTGCTGCTTTACCTGGTCTCCCAGAGAGGACAGAGCCTGGAGCAGGCCGTCGGCTTTCCTCTGGGCCTGGAGACAGGAAGGATCAGAAGATGACCAGAGGGTCTTCACTCCTCATTCAGATCAACATTTGACACTTAAAGACTGGAATATTACTCTGTATGCAGACGACATGGTTTTATTCACCCTTTAAAAACAAGGCTGAAGAAGTGGTCTGAGATCAACAGAACTGAAGAACATCACTAGATGTTTCAACAGTCTAGTCTCATCTTAAATACAGGAAAGACAGTTGTAATGTTCTTTACAAAGAGAAGAAAAATTATGAGTTATCCAGATATTTATATAAACGGAGGAAACACTCAAAATGTTGATGAATTTACTTATTTAGGTGTGAATTTAACTTTAGACTTTAAAAATCATGTCAAAAAATTTAGCGGCACGCCCGCGTGCCGTTTTATATTCGTTTTATTTTGAAGTATTATTTCTGTTTCCTGTTCAGCCTGTGTCCGTGTGCAATGCACCAAACTTGGTGTCTAGGCCCTCCTCTTTCGATTGACACCTCATTTGACCAACTGGGTTCAAGTTTCGCCTGTCTAGGGCCAATAACACATCAGTAGTGACCAACTTCCGGTTTCCATCTTTCTAGCTTTGATTGACTGTAAAATCGGCCAATCAGCTCCGAGCTTAGTTCTGATGTCACAGCTGTGTAGCCAATCACTGTACCTTTCATTTAATGTATAAATAGAGGGGGTGGGAACTTTGTTAGTGATGGAAGATGATAACACAGTGGAGGCGGCCATGTTTCGGCAGTGTTACAATGCTAAGGAAGGCAGCTAACGCTCACAGGAAAACGTTTTCCACCATTTTTTGGTCAGTTAGCTGACGAAACCTGCTGATAAGATGAAAATATATTTGTTATTAAGTGTTTTGAGTGCTTCAAGACATGGAAAAGTGATTTTTGTGGCCAGGAGAAGTAACTTTATTCGGATAAAAAGACTTCTGGTCGCCATTTTGAATCGCTAATTTGGACATATTTGAGGACCTATGTTCATCAAATGTGAGTGAAAAACAAATATATTTTCACTGCTGGTGGTTTTATAAGCTGTGTGGAATGTTAATGCTCTGAAAGATATAAGGATATATTGTTTATTCTTGTGGTTTGGCTGTTTATTGGTGGAAATTTGTCTGAAAATACAGTGTTGGTGTAAATATTTATGAATATTAATTTTTTTTAATGTAATCATGCTGTGAGTAAATATGGATGGTAGAATGTGTTTGTGGGAGTTATATCTTTAATTTGAGCCCAGAGTGAAGTCCCTGTGTTGAAATTAGAGCGTTTTAGACAAGTGTACAGTTTGGATATATGTAAATGAGTACAAATATACAAATGAGACATGCTGGATTTTACTATGTGTCAAATACTCATATTTTATGCTACTGTTACCAAATTTGAACTGGTAATAGTTGAGAAGTAATATTTTAACCCAGTAAAATTAGTTTGATAATATCTAATTCCCTTCATATTCTGTGATACTTTATTAATAAAAAATAAAAAATTAGGGAGAAAAATATCTTGATTTTGGTGTATTTTACTTCCCTATACTAAATACTAGTTACAGTTACAAAGAATATGACTGAAGTTAAAAATTCAGATTATTCTAATTCAATTCAATTCAAAAAACTTTATTGATCCCAGAGGGAAATGAGGTGTTGTTGTAACTAATTTAACTAAAACTTATTGTAGATGCTGATGGCTGTGGGCAGTGTAGCGTCTGTATTACAACCAGACTGAAGACACTTTGTCTTTAATGACAGTCTGATGAAGAGGATGGTCAGGGTTGTCCACAAGGTTCTTGATTTGATGTAAAACCTTTGCACCATCATCTCCAGAGGTTCCAGTCATCCCAGAACAGAACCAGTTTCTTTATCAGGTTGGTTTTAGCTCACTGACTGATGCTGCTGCCCCAACACATGATGGCAGAAGAGATGATGCTCTCAACAACAGACTTRTAGAAGATCTRCWGAAGAGATGATGCTCTCAACAACAGACTTGTAGAAGATCTGCAGCATCTTACTGCAGACATTCAAGGATCTCAGCTTCCTTAAGAAGTACAGTCTGCTAAAATTATACCAAAATTAGCTTTAAAAAGAGACCAAGCTTGTGAATTTACTCTAAACAGTTGAAAAGCAGTACTTTATTTAATTTGTGTCTACTTTTTAAGGCGCTTTATGGTATTTTATGCCTGAATGTTAACATGCAGTTTAGATCATTTTAGGTATACGTGGCTCTTTTACTACTGAGGCTTCCCATATTTACCTCAACTCTATGATTTTTTTCATGTTTTTTATATTGTATGAGTATCTGGTCACATGCATGCAAAACAACTTTGAAGCCTCTTGAATTAATATATAAAAGTGCTTTGAAGATTCATGACAAGAAATCTAGAAGCAAAAATGAAAGTAATTCATCAAAAAATGACAAAGTTTGTCACTAATATGAAGAGCAGCTTTTGGTTCTACCATGAAATATTTTAAAAGTTCAAACATTATCAAATACAGTTGTAGATACAACTATATTTTAATTTGTACTTTATCAAATTTATTTTTACAGGTTTTTTAAACTTTTTGAATGAATTTAAATAAACTTTAAACTTGTCAAAAAGCTGTTGTTACTGTTGTTTGTCACTAATATGAAGAGCAGCTTCTGGT